AATAAATCTGAGTAAATCTATAGATCTAAAATAGATATACTGATAAATAAAGTGTAAATTTACATAGATCTATTTATATCTGTTTAGATCAACTTTATATCTACTTAGATGTAATTAGATCTCTTTTTCCATTTTTTTTATCTTGTTAGATTTAAATTAGATCTAATCTATTTTTTCTCGGGATCTTTGCTAAATCGAAATATTTTTAGCAAAAACTTGAATCATTTTCGAAAATTCTAAACCTCTTCTCAGATTCTACACCCCTGACTACACCCATGACAGAGCTCTTTGCATTTTCTGTGATCCCGCTACGAAAGTTGAATTTATCCGCTGAAATTTATCGAGGCCAGAGAGGCAGATATTTTAGTGCCGCTTTCTTCAACTTATACTTTTCTATATACGGCGAACTTATCGATTGAGTCAGTTCACCTCTTGTCACTTTTTGTGATCCCGGTAATATACAATTTGAAATTTAGCTTATTTAGCTCTCGTAGCGGCCGACTTTCTCGCTTAAAGTCCTTTTCTTCAGTGAAGAACGATTATATCTACACATTAATCATAGAAAACGAATGAAATTTTGCACGCGAAGACGCCTTAGAACTTTTACTGTAAAATTAGAGAAACAAAATTCCAAAAGTTATAAAAACATAAAGATTATATTACAAGTTTTACGTATCACGGCTACAGTCGACGCAAATGCCTCAGCGCATAAAGTACCCTAATAGGCACATTTGTGAAAATATTGCACAAAAATGGCATCATGAATGGCGACGATTTTGCAATGATTGCACTAAGATGATTCGCCATAACGCAACAGTTTTGTCACAATAAAATTTTGTAAATAATATTTGTCAAAAATTGGAAAAGAGTCGTTATGCATTTCCACAGTACGATACCTCCGATAGGCAAATTGTGAAAATATTGCACAAATATGACATCCATGAGTGACGACGATTTCTTGCATTTCTTCATATGCAATCATATTTCTACATATTTGAAACATCACATAGCTGAATTTATTTTCTCAATTATTGGACAATTTCTTTGTGAAATTAATTTTGCAAATATACTGCTAAGATGATTCGTCATATCGTTATTCTTTTGCCGAAATAGTATTTGAAAAGTAATTTTGCAAACAACTACAAATATTTCAGAAAAGATCAAATGTTTTTACATTTATTTCCTAAAATATATCTGTATACTGAGCAAACAATTTGGTTGTCATTTGTCGCGATTTTGTCGCCAACCACCAAATCCATCTGTGTCCTCGGTAAGATATGGTTTGGTGAGTTTTGGTGACCATGTTACATCCTTTGTATCTGTGTGTTAACAGCTTTGGCAGCACACAAAGCATGTTTGTTACTTGAAAAGTAATGTTGCAAACAGTGACAAATATTTGATAAAAGATCAATGTTTTTACATCTATTTCCTAAAATATGTCTGTATAATTGCAAATTACAATTTTAGTGCAAGATTTCGTCACATAATTTTTTAAATGTTTTCCTATCAGAGTATAGCATAATCGAGATATGATTTTTTTTGTTTTTTTCGATATTAATATACGTGGCAAAATTCAAGTAAATTTCACAATGATATGACAAGAAATATGACAAGAAATGGGATTAAAATTCCTCTGGGACACAATATGTGGCTGGATATCATGGATCTTTCTTTCAATAGTTAAACTTGTGTTGTATCTGCTTTTATCTCTCTTCAGCTTAATATTGTTTATCGGTATGGTCGGTGTGATAACGGTTCTCATTTTGTACGCTCTTGGCCTTCTACCGCCGCCTTCACCACGACCGGATGAACGCAGATGATTAACAAATCCAAAGATTTATCTGGTAAATTGACGCAACACTCGTGTCAGAAAGAAAAGAATATGCACAAAAAAAGAAAGTTCTTGTGCTGTAAAGAAACACATATAAAAGATTATAAAAAATTATGTGCACATAAAGTTACTTTTGAAAAATATATTTTTGTCAGAGGAATATCACAATTTATCTTTACATTATGTAATAACAGCAACACATATATACACGCGTACGATTATAATATCTCTCTCTTTTACTCTCATTTATACTCTAAAATATGACAAAACTGCTAATATTTATATATAATAAAATTTGCATTTTTGAAGTCTTGTGTTTTTGTAGACGCAGGCCTTGTTATATGAGCATATATTCGCTCGTATAACACGCAAAGTTGAGGATGTTTGATATGTGTTACACAAAAATATATATAATAATATATAAATATATATATTTTTTTAACTATTTCTTAAAAAAAAAAAAAAAAAACAAAGAAAATAGGAAACAGCTATTTAGGAATTAGTATGCTGTCGTTGTACGCATATATATATATATATACACATATATATATCCTCCGCATAAAGATAACTTATCGAAATATATTTAAAACGATGTAACACGATAACGTGATATAACAATATTGTAACACGATATATTTTTCATAAAGCGAAATATTGCAATTTTTAATTATGGCATTTTTTAAAGTACCCATGTCAATTTTCTATCAACACTGATTGTTGATTTATAAATACGTACGTTCCCGCTTGCAGAACGAATTAATTAATAAACTGCGAATTATTATCTCTAACATGACATTGACGTTGCGCGGAATGCTTGTAGTTATATACAATATTAACTTTCTGATAAATTTTCTACAATCTTATCTTAAATAGTCTTCTACATTTTACTCAAAAATATTTGGAAATTAAAATGTATTACTGTTTTTATTACAGATATGTACTAAGAGGCAATGTTGAAGTTTTTATTTAATTACAGCAGACCCCCTCTCCTCCATGTATATTTTCTGTGTTTATTTCTCTCTCCCTCTCTCTCTTTCTCTGACTTAGATAATATTTTTCTAGAAATGCGTTTTTCCATACGGGATGCGCAGCGGTTTTCTAATTTGTTTGTTTGTTTTTTTTTTTTTTTACGTCATACATACAAAATAATTGTACTAGCTAATCAGTGCTTTAAATCAAATATTTCTATCAGCAGCGGTTCTACACTGGATGGATTGACGTTCAAATACACGCCTACGACCTCGTCGTTCAGTTTGTGCAGCTCGGAAATCTTTTGTATTAACTTGAGAAATGTGGACTTGGCTTCGCAGCCTGGATAAACGCTCTCTAGATATCGTCTGAGGAGATAATAATATGAATTCTAGAAGAAAAAAGAAATACATCAATGTTTTTGTATAACACATGTACATACAAGAACGTCTCGAAAATGTAAAGAATCATTGAAGATTTATTTTGTTAATGCGTTAATAAAAAAAATAAAATAAAATAAAATAAAACAAAAACAGAACTTGTGTGTGTGTGTGTGGCGTAGTTATTTAAATAATGTTTACTCACTTGTTCCAATTTAATAACGTCGCCGTGTACAACTCTCGGCCTGTCGGGCGTGAACAAGGCGATCGCGCTTAAAATCAAAATGATATTTTCGTCACGCCATCGCGGATCGAACGTTCGGACGAATCTCGCGTGCTCCGCATACAAATTTCCCTTTGCTTCCTTGAGCACGTCCACTTTGATATTTGACATGCTTTCCTGACTATGCGGTATCTTCCACATATCCTTATCGGGATCGTAATTAATGGCCGATCTGAGTATCATCATTTCCGTACAGCCACCCTTCAGCAGAGCTAACTGGTCCTCTTGACACATGCTTTTAAACGCATTTATTTTCTTGGACATCTTTATCAAGCGTCTAATCGCTATAGCCGTTAGATTTATAACATCTAAGAGCATTGGATCTGACTGACCAAAATTATTCTGCAAATTAATGTCAATGTTACTGTTATTGTAATTAATTCGTTTATAGTGTGGTATTTTATTTGTCCGATCATATTTGAAAACATTTATCTTGTTATAATTCTAATATCTATGTTAAATAATCTGATTATTTCCATTGTAAAAAAATATTGAAGCATTACCTTAAATTTACACTCTTCGCCAACTAAATTCGTTATATCGTCATCTAACGGAGCTAATAACGCTTTATTAGCAACTATTAATTCGTTTAATTTTGCTCGCTCGGAATCGTTTAATTCTCTACTGCTTTTATTACCAAAACTAGAAAATGCTGAATATTCCAACTTGATAGCTTCGCATAAAATAGATTCTATTGAGTTAGCAGCAATTGGTATCCTGAAACGCACCATCGTATTCAAGTTTCACTGAATAATCCTCGTAATGTTTTGTTAAAATTTGTACATATATACTTGTGCGTGTCGAATTACCTTTGAACATCCTGTAGAACATCTCTGGTAACGTCGGTCGTGTTCTTGATCCAATCAGCGCTTGTACCGGGCTCAAAATTTTGATTTCTGCAATCTTCCGTGTTACGATTCGTAATCAAATCCGTCAGAATCGGATTTTCCACGTGGCTTTCTCTGGACTTGAGAATTTGTCTATTAACTGAATTATTATTATTACTTCCCAGAGTCATTACTTCTCTCGATTGACCAATCGGCTTTTCGTCGCGCAAGACCGCGCTGTTTTCCTCCAAGAGCTCCGAGACATGCGGATCCGCCGCCAAACACGTGATCATGTCGGGATTTGTCATTATCTTCATTATTACTCTTTGATCCTGAAATATCTTTGCGACCAAATTCGGATTGCTGAAGAACTTTGCGAGCAGTCCGGAATCGTTCTTTGATTTGACGATCAGTTTATCATTCCCACTCGAACACGTTTCCTTCGGTTTCTTACACATCGTCGTCAACTCGTCTTTCGTGAATTCCGTTCGAGACATCATGTCGAGCTGACTTGATGCGCCGCTGCTGTTTGTCTCGTGCTCAAACGCGGGTGAGTTTTGCTCGTGACTCTGCTGAAACGTTGAATAATTGGCGCTTTCTTCGAAAGAAGGACTGTATTTCGGTAATTCGCTATTAACATCCACAAACTCAGGACTCGGCGCAGTTTGCTCGTATTGTTTCGAGCACGTTCGAGAGTTCTTGTTGTCCTTCACACTTGAAGAGTCTACGTTGAAGTCGGTATATCTCGTACGACTATAGAGATACAAATGTAACATATAATTTAAGACTTTTTACTTTCATTTATTAAATTTCTATATACAGGATGAGAGCGTCTTTTTAAATTTTATAGGTATCAACTGATCTCCTTACCTTGTAAGATTAGACCTGGAACCGTGAGAGGATTCTTTCAGCATGTCCAACGTTTTTGTTCCAGCGATATTCGTACTCTCCTGCGGACTCGAAGGACTCGGCACGCTCGCTGCCGTCGCCGGGCTCATATTTTCGACCGCGTTTCGCCGATTTCCATCTAGATCTGTATATTTCTTGTCAGATTCCCAGAAATATGTCTCCGATATCGTCGATCCGACCGATATCGACATCGACGTATCCTCGAACGTACAATCCTCCACGCAATCCTTTCTGATTTTCGACACTTTGGCGCTGTCCGATTGAGATCGTCTTTTCGCGCGATTGTTCTCAATCTTCTTGCGCTTCTGAACTTTGTCTTCTTCAGACATTATGTAATCCTTGCGCATGCCAATACTGAAACACTTTTCGAGTCGGCATTTCTGACAAAAACGTCTGGTTACAGGTGTGATCTTGCAGTTTTCTGAGAAAGGACATCTGAAGTCCTGTCAAATAAAAACACATCTTTGTGTGTTTGTTGTTGCTTATCAGTGTTATATTTCAAACTTTGACATTTTTAAGAGTAAAGAGAAGAGGTTTCTTTATTAAATAACATTTACCAACATTGTGTTCTATCAACTAACATTAATCTTATGTGTGTTCTGTTAAAATAAACGGAAATTGCTTAAGAAGTAAACACAACAATATCTTATCTGGTTCTTAACAGTCCACTACCAACAAAAAATATGCAGATTCCAATTTTAAATTCAACAACTGTGTTTTTATGCACATATATGTTACTTATCTTGTGATTAATTCTTAAGGACCAAACAAGATATTTTCAATAGCATAAAAATGTCTTTGTAATCTTATCAACAACGAGTTATGCACATATGTTGCACAAATAGAAACATAAAAAAAACTCTTCAATATTTTTTTTGATATTTGCAAGAGAAAGTTGCTTTGAATTTTATATAAAATTTTCTAATTGAAGGCAATTCTATCTTCTTCTTTATATATAAAGATATCATTTGATATGATATATAGATATCATTTGTGAGTCATAGATTAAACCTCCTATTTAAAAGTGTTTTAGATTATGTTTAAAAACTCAACAGATTAATATTGAAATGTTCTTACAAGTAATCATCAATCTCATACTCAAAATTGTTTTGGATTGTGTTTAAAAACTTGACAGATAATATTGAAATGTTCCTAAAAGTAATTATATCCTCAGCCTTCTCAATGAAAGAAGTTTCTCATGTGAAGAAGCAGAGAGGTGTTTCAAGGATTTCGATATTCAAATTCCAAAGCTTCGAAGCATCAGAAGTAGTATAATAAATAAAAAGATAACAAAGATGTGATTGTAAAAAAAGAAGATAATAAAACCCAGATAGCCAACTGAGTGCAAGTTGTTGGCAACTTGCCACAAATATTGCTCATATGTTTTCAGCGATGTAACAAAAAAGGGTGTATCCTCTTTTCAGTATGTTCTTGCCAGCAGCAACAGTTTTCAAAATATAATAACAGCAACTTCCCAACATCTCGTCGGCAATAAACTTATATTATTTTTCTCAACTTATGAATAAAAATTATTGCCCACATATTGCTCACACATTGCTGACTCACATGTCCTAAACATGGGCTACAACAATTGATTGACAATAAAACTCAGCGTATTGATACTGAATTGACAAAAACATTTTCGTTAAATAAAAACAACACAACAGCAATTGGCGAGCAACTTAATCCGTACAAAATGATTTGCTTTATATTGAGTTTTCACATTTGGTTATCTGAGAATATGAGATAATACGATATAATGCTATGTAATGTGTAATATGATACAAATGATGTGTGATATTCAAACTTTTCATTGAAAAATCTGAATTAGGACAAACTCACCTTGTTCTTCAACGCGTTTCTCCTGAAGAAGGCTTTGCAACTTTCGCAGGAGAGGGCGTTGAAGTTGTAACCGAGCGCCCGGTCACCGCAGACTCCACAGACTTTGGCGGTCTGCTCTCTCGCCGGCTGTTCATCGTCCATTGCTCTTGGAACGGCGTTCTCGAAGAGCGATTAGCACGTCTTATCTAACGAAGGCGGCAACATCGTTTCCTTCTTATCTCTTTCCTCTACGCCGCGGGAAACTGCGTTCTCGCTCTCGAAGGCGCCGTTAGTGTCATGCAGTGAGTCACGTCAACATTGTTTATCTGCGTTATCTGCGACGCGCCGCCAGTTCGTGACTATTTACAACTCACTCGGTTACATCTTCCGTCGTAGTCTGCGCCAACGTCCAACGCCCCAACAGGGAACCGCGCCTGCAACAGTTCCTTGAGAGTCAATGAGCCGTTCAATTGATGTCTCACTTGTCAGCAGTTAACGCGACGATGCGCACACAGATCCGTCATATGATTCGTTCATTCTGCTCTGCTATTCTGCCCCCTCTCTCTCTCTCATGTCTCTTCCTCCTCCTTCTCCTCGTTTGCCGCCCACACGCCAATGCGCTACCACGACACCGTCTATGTACAACAGAGTCTCCCTTGGGTGTACGTCTGTTGATACACACTTTGTTTCCTCGAGCGTTGATTTCTGATGACAGTCAGCTTCTTTCTACTCGCATTGCCACTTACTATCGTTCGCTCTCACCTGCTCTCTCACCTGTTTCTCTTCTCTTCTTTTGTTAAGGTTATGTTGCTCACTACGTCAGACTCAGACACTGGTCATCAGTATTTTATATGCGCGGTAGCATACACGGATATGATGCCGGAAGACAAGGTGTGTATCATTACCGAGATGCGCAGTGAGTGAGTTGACCAATCAGAAAGTTGAAACGACAGAAAAGATGTGGACGAACGACGATCTTCTTTTAAATTCTGAGCAAAGTAGTTTCTTTAGCAAAACTTTTAACAACACTTAGATTTGTATAAGTCTTGGATTTTCGTTATTCTAATTTTAGAATTTCCGGGAGTTGACCTCTTCTGATTCAACTTTCTCTCCTACTCTGACACGAGTTGTGGTTCACCACCAGAAAGATGTCTGAAAACTGTGACTAGGTACTGATAAAAAAGCGTTTTAGCACAAAACCGGACTTAGATGTCCGTTTACAGGACACCTAAGTCTGGTTTTTACTAAAACGGTTTTAATAACATCAGTACAAGGAACGTTTACAGGACATCTAAGTCCGGTTTTGTACTAAAGACATCTAAAACGGTTTTAATATAGTCTGTCATCAATTGGAACTATCTTATATTTCTATTTTTTAGCGGGAATTTTTGCTAAATCGGAATATTCCCAGATAGCCAACTGAGTGCAAGTTGTTGGCAACTTGCTACAAATATTGCTCATATGTTTTCAGCGATGTAACAAAAGGGTGTATCCTCTTTTCAGTATGTTCTTGCCAGCAAAAGTTTTCAAAATATAACAACAGCAAGTTCCCAACATCTCGTCGGCAATAAACTTTATATTATTTTTCTCAACTTATGAATAAAAATTATTGCCCACATATTGTTCACACATTGCTGACTCACTTGTCATAAACATGGGCTACAACAATTGATTGACAATAAAACTCATCGTATTGATACTGAATTGACAAAAACATTTTCGTTGCGTTAAATAAAAACAACACAACAGCAATTGGCGAGCAACTTAATCTGTACAAATGATTTGCTTTATATTGAGTTTTCACATTTGGCTATCTGGGTTTTTTTTGGCAAAGACTTGAACAACTTACGAGAATTCTAAACCTCTGTAAACCTCTTGTCACATATTCTACATTTCTTGCCAATAAGAGTTCAAAATTGCGCGTTGGTCCGTCTTCTTAAATTGAACGCTACTTCCTTCAACTTATAGTTTTCTAACTATACACAGCAAAGTTATCGGCTGAATCATCAGTTCACCTCTTCTCCTCTGGTAGAGCTCTTTGCAATTTCTGCGATCCTGGTTGAATTTATTCGCTGAAATTATTATTTCGATAGAAAGGCAGATATTTGAGTGCCACTTTCTTCAACTTGTAACTTTCCCGATACGGCGACTTTGTCGACTGACGGCCAATTTCTTCATACCTCTCGATATAGCTATCTTCTGGATAAATTCCTCTGAGAACCAATAAGGAGAACCAATTTTGGGAAATATCTTCTAGATGAAGTTATCGAAAACTTATCTAGAAGTGAAAAACCTGACTGTGAGTCAGTTCATCTCTTCTCTCTACTTCCCCCTGGTAACAGAGCTCTTGTCACTTTCTGTGATCCTGATAATACATTTGAAATTTAGCCCGCAACGAGTTGACTAGCAAAAAATGCTCATATATCTCACATTAATCATAGAAAATGAATAAAATTTTGCACGCGAAGACCTTTTAGAGCTTTTACTGTAAAATTAGAATAACAAAGTTTCAAAAGTTTATATAAAAATCTAAATGTTATTAAAAAAGTTTTGCTAAAGAAAAACTCGTTTCCGGTGACTAGCTGAACTCTTTAAGACACGTAACTATAGATATCGTGGCCACGTGACCGATTGATTACCACAAGAAGTCGAGCTCCCGCGCGTCACTGATTGGAACGTGAAATTTTTCACTGCGAGGATTCGCAACTGATTTTTCAGTGAGATCAGTAATGTTTTTTAAATAGAAATTTATCATGTATAACGCAATAATACTGGAGTCTCTCAAATTATGGCAAACACAGACACGTCTTAGTGTTTTATAAATGTTTAAATTTGATAATGAGATAAACAATATGTTGTTTAAAAGAACGTTCGCTCTTTCTTAAAGCTACTTTTACGTCTCGTTTAAAACGACGTTTATATTCTATATTTTAAACTTCAATTTTACACAAACAATCGCGTATTGTCTGTTTGCATCACTTCAATTTTACACAACAATCGCGTATTGTCTGTTTGCATCACTCGTCCCGCTTTATCGCGCATCAATAGATTCGTGACACAAATGGGGAAGGGACACACGTGTAAAACGATCGATCTGTCTCTTAGTTTAGTTTTCACATATTCACAGCTGATTAAGTATTCCTCACACACACGCAAAAACTTTTACGCAATCGATGATAAGATAACGCGAGAGTATATATATACGTACGTCGTGAAAAAATTTACGACGTGTGATTGTCAAGATGTTCTTCTCACACAACGCACAAAAAAAAACAGAGATGTCATTCTACTATCGTCCTACTGTTATTCCGACTTCAAAGACTGTTTATAGACGACGGTCACGACTTTGGAAATCATTTATCTACTTAAAACGGTTTGGGACGACGTTATCGTTATCGTCTGTGTGTGAGAAGTGATAACCGTGGCACGATCTCGTTATGATTCACATTTGCAAAATTGGCCTGACCCTGGAATTGACCAGAAAAAAAAAAAAGAACGGAGGAGAGAGAGAGAGAGAGCGGTGGAAATAAGCGATAAGCTGCAACGTTGCGTGTGTTCATTCACGCGAATGTTACGCGCAAAGAGGAAGATCTCACAATCTGTGGTTTTTTTTTTTTTAAGAAAGATTTAATTAAAATCTTAATACAAATCGCACGTTAATGTTTCTCGCCGCATCAAATCTCTCGAGAGCGAGAAGCTCCAGGTGCGAGAGATAATAATCCACGCCAAATGATTGATCGCCAGTCATTTTGTTGTTATGGATTAACGAATAATATGTTACATTTGAGACACGCGTGCGCAACAATACTGATATAACATTACATTATTGTTTCAAAAAAAAAAAAAAAAAAAAAAAAAAAGAAGAAATCCCAAATTTTCGCCGTATAAAACTTAATTCTCTTAGATATCCGAACTATATATAGATATATATATATATATATATATGTATATATATATAGATAGATAGAACTATATATAGATAGATAGAACTATATATAGATAGAGAAAATGTATGGAAAATATTTCACAAGAGATCCGTCGCTCAATAATCGAGCTTGCTTAAGTCGTTTTGTCGAAGGCACTTAATAATTGTTAAGATGAATCATAGAAGAGACAGGCACCGATTGGAGATTAATTCTCAAATATGAGAGAACTTCGTCATCATCGGCATAATAGGCAAAAATAGTGCGATCATGGTCGATTCAAACGTCTGATCGCTTAACGCACGCGAAGGCACTACTTAAAGATTTTTTTGTTCGTCTAATTATAAGCTACGCATTACAGCAACGTTTATCAAAATTGCTTGACGGCAGTGTCTTTAAATATACGTCCTATATAACTTATATACAACGAAATTTTAACGATGAAAATTCTTTCTCCCGCTTCGGATACGAGTGGAGATCGGATTGAAATTTCATTTTGACGGGGTGTCAGTCAATATCGTACTTCCAATCGGCACACCGCCGCTTTCGAGCATCAGTTCGTGCTTCATGTGATATGTTATGATCTCCTCGATCGTCGAGAAAAATAACTCGCCAACTTTCTGGGATCCAAGCGCGTATCTGAAACAAATAATTCTTTTTTTTACAGCAGACCGTAAACACTAACGTGCGAGTTCACGAAAAAAAAAACAATTTTCATTATTGCGCGTTTTATTTGATTAATGAGATTCGAAATTAATTGTCCGTGCTCAATATGTACAGATATATGTACGGACAAGAGTTGCTTTGATCAAACAATAAAATTAATCAAGCAAAATGTTTTACCTGTTGTCATTCCTCTTTCTAACCGGAACATTGTAAACTCTGTCCTTGTACCAGAGAACCAAAACAAAAGGATTGCGAACTTTTGTGGTTGATGGTCTCAAGAGGAAATATCCGTCTTGCGGATTGTTATAAGAATCTTCTGCAAAAATTAAAAAAAAAAAAAATATATATATATACAGGGTGTCCCGCAACTACCGCATTTCTTTTTACCAGTAGATTCTCGAGATCATTCTAAGATAAAAATCCTAATACCAAAATGTCGAGGCTACAATATTTTTTGAGTTAGAAGCATTCAAAGATAAAATGATTAATATTATAATAGATAACAAAATGACAAAATATTGACATTAAGTAAATTATCAACAAGTTTTAATTAAAAACAGACAATCTTTATACGTTAAATAATAATGTATAATGTATAATAAAATATTATTATATTATACGTTATTATACATTAAATAATAATGTATAATAATGTATAATATAATAATAATGTATAATAATTGTTCAAAATGTCCACCATTCATTTGTATACATAGTCTTGCTCGATGCAACAAAATCTGTCCGGCAAGATTATGTATACAAATGAATGGTGGACATTTTGAACAATTATTATACATTATTATTAATGTATAATTATTAGTGTATGGAGATTGTGTGTTTTTAATTAAAAATTTGTTGATAATTTACTTAATGTCAATATTTTGTCATTTTGTTATCTATTATTATAATAATAATTTATTTATGTCAGTAAATAATAAGACTGCTCTTTTTTTAATATCTTCATCAAAATGTTATTATTTTTATGTACTATACGCATATTTTAAATGACGCAAACTCTTATTTCATTATTATAACACACGCATTATTGACAAAAGAGGTGCGACACTGTGTGCGCCTTTAAGCATTGTCCCGCACCTGAGCGCGCGAATTTCAGACGATCTCATTCGTTATCTTTGAATGCTTCCCGGTAAAAAATTTTTTTTTCCGGAAAGCCGGAGATTCCAGGTTCGACTCCTGGCCGAGGAGTTTTTTTCGCAATATTTTAAACATTAAGTAGGGGGATATTCGGGGTCTCTCATATGTGAGATGCAAAAATCCAGCATCCCATATGAATTTAAGAATTGAGTTTTCAATTCAAAAAACACTCACTTGTAAAAATTTACAAGTGGAAGTCGTTACATGTGTATATATATATATATATATATATATATATATATATATATATACACGCACAGTTTCCGCTCAAACATCCTGCGAATGGCTCGTAAGGCCTTGTATATTTCTTGTTATTAATTTCAAAGCGAGCCTTAAGTCATAATTATTAAAAAAAATTTTTATATATACTTATACACAAATTAAAATAATTATATCTAATTATGCAAATTTATATGCCGAATATGTCCATACAATTTTATACGCGGAGAATTTCTTTTTTTTAAGAGAATGGCTTCAAAGATATTCTATATCAAAGTACAAAATAATGCTATTAGTATCATGTTAGATACAAAATAATTCTATAAAACTATATTTTTACTATATTTAAAAAAATTTTTTATATATAATCATATATACTTATACACAAATTAAAATTATTATATCTAATTATGCAAATTTATATGTGTGCTGAATATGTCCGTACAATTTTATACATAGAAAATGTTTTACCGGGTTCTAACTCAAAAAATATTATAACCTCGACATTTTGGTATTAGGATTTTTGTCTTAGAATGATCTCGAGAATCTACTGATAAAAGGAAATACGGTAGTTGCGGGACACCCTGTATATATATTGCATTGCAATTACATATTATATTTAACACAAACTTTGAGGTCTATCTCAAAATCAGTGATATCACATACGTTCTCCAATAAGAGCGATTGCTTGTTCTCTTGTGACATTGTGATACCAGGGCTTGTCGGTGTACGATTGTCTGTCGGGCAGTAGCGGCAGCGGTCGCGTAGCTCTTTCGTTGGGTAACAATGACGTGTTACTGCCAGCGTGAGGTAGCGTGGCTGATTTCTTATCCGGCGATCGCTCTGCAAATTTATGAAGAAACAAAACTAATCAAAACACAAGTACATCAACATGTATAATATAATATACATACCGCGTACACATAATATATTATCTAGCAACTTCTAAATCATTGTGTATGTACATATAAACATTTAAGATGATTTTCATTGAAACACACATATATATATATATATACACACACACACACCACAAGATCGCGTTACTAACTTGCTAAATTAAGTCGGGCCTGCGTAAGAGCCGCCTGTGTCAAACACTCCGAAAGACTCGCTTGCCGGCGTGTCGCCGTATTGAGCGATATATTCCGCTTCGTGTCGCTGATTATAGTTGCCATTGTCGCGAATTCGTTTCTGTACTTCTCGACGGATTGCGAGTCGCTTGAGCGCTCAATTGAAAAACACGTGCGTGTTTTGTCAACAAGATTTCTCGATTGAATTTATTTTCTAATACAATGTCGCGTAAGTTACAGCTAAACTAAAAAATTGTTTGAAAAACGTTTAAAAAAAATTCATTCGTTTTTGCATTAACATAATATTTGTCAACTTAGACGATCACAAGATAGAAAATAAGTTCCTGTTGAACGGTGAGTATTCGATTCGTTTACTTCTTCCCTTCGAACTAAATTAATAATAAACCTGGCCTGGGAGCCTTTTTGGAGATCGAGTAGACGCGCTCTCTCGTTACACAACGCACACAATCGCCACGAGACGTTCGACCAAACTGAGATTTAATTCGGGAACGGGTGGCCTTTTAAACCCCGCCGCGAAAAAGGAAGAACGGTGGTCAATCCGTTGGTCTCTCGGCATGGGACGACGCACCGGGTTTAAGAATAAACTTCCGTAAATCATCATATCGGAAGAGTCAAATGGGGGAGAGGCTCTTGTACGAGGAGAGAGAAAAACAAAAATCGAAAGACAATAACTTCGGGCGAATCGCATAATTTACAAAACTGAATTTATCATTTTTTTTGTGGCTATAAAAAATTATACAAAATATATACCACATTTGATTTTTTGAAAAGAGTTTGGTTTTTCAAGATCTATTTCCGTCCGCGAGAAACGGGAGGTCGACGACCTTAGCCGAGCAAAAAAAAAAAAAGAGAACAGATGCTGCTGTCTTTGGCGCGCGCTCGCGAGAGAACGAACGTGTTGAATCGCGCAATACAATCGCCGCGCCGGAACAATGCGCTATTTAATTACTCTATCTATGTATATACCTGGTGGCTCAGGTGGTTGCGAGTAACAACATGTGGACAGACCTCTCTTGATTCGCACTATCATATCGGCGACCTCATCGGCCAGGCGCGTGCCCAGACCTCCTAGGAGCTGTTTGCTCAGTCGCAGATAAAAACAGGAACACATTCCATCACCCGATGTTTTTACAATCGAATCGTTATCGGATTCTTTTAAACACGTGTGTGTTTGTCGAAGCTTCCCGTTGCAGGACACGTTGTTCGTCGTAATACGAATCGCAATTAAACAGATCGATTTTTTTTTTTATCGCGCGTTTATTCTTTTGCTTTTAATTTGTCGAACGTTCGCGATCACCGGCGACAACGTCGTTTCTGTCGAAAAGACGTTAGCGGTTTGTCTTGCCGATTCCGTTCGACGGAGATATCTTTTATTCATTTTGAAGGTCGCAGATCTTGCTCCACCTCCTCCCGCGCACAAAAAACATACGCGAGTGTCGCAAATAATCGTGGCAACGTCGGTGACATATCACAACGAATGTCGAAACTAGAATAAAGAATACGCTAAATGGAAACGTGAAAAACAGAAAACGGGCATAAGTGACGGTGGCTGGTACGCGACTGTCTGCAAAATCGCAGAACAGTAAGTGCCTCAGGTTGCATGGAAACCGAAGATAAGTACCATTTGTCAAACACGTGGTCGTGAGAATTTCTTGCAACGAGTCTGCACCGTCTTGAGTTTCGCACTGCATTTCGCACTTTTTTCATTCGCCACTTTAGTATCTACCGCGTGTCCGTGACGTGCGTTTTACTAACGTAACAAAAAATTAAAAAAAAATAAAATTCATATTCTAATCTTTCCACGCGTTAGTCGTTCAAAATAAATATAGTAAAACTAGACATTTTTAAGATACCAGATCCCAAAACTCTCCACTAATATATACTTTCTGTATTTGTATCTCGATAAGGCATATATTAGACAACATGGAATACACACAAAGACACTTACTCCCGGAATTTTCCTTAGACCTTGTTCCGTCGAAAGAAGAAGTCGAAGACGGTGGAGACGGCGACGGTTTAGCGGGTAAGGGAGGCGGGCTCTGAACATTGTTCGTTTTTTTAATGGGACTCAAGTAACCGCTGTCCTGTAACAATAAGAAATATAAATTTATACGAAATATATACAGGATTTTGAGAGCCGATCGCAGAATGTTTGTGCGGAAATATGCATGTATATATATATATTAGGTCTACCGGAAAGTTCTGTCCGTTTTTGGAACAAAACAAAATACAAATTTTTCTTAATTTTTCAAAAATGGAATATACAAATTGCCCTCACGCTGGCAAGAAATCATTAATAATAATGGCAATTATATTGTTTAATAAAGTTTATTGACGGTAAGGAAAATTTGTATTTTGTTTTATTCCAAAAACAGACAGAACTTTCCGGTAGACCTAATATACATATATATATATACGTGTTCACAAGTAAATTTTTACAAGTGAGTTTTTTGAATTGAGATTTCAATATTGTTTAGAGATATTGAAATAAGAAATATAATTTGCTTTAAGAAATATATAATTTGTACAACTTTTTCCTTCCAAAACTTCTGTCAAAAGGTGTCGACAAAACTTATTTTTCCACAATTCTTTTTTATAATTCTTTTTTATAGAAAATAATCGAATTTTCAAATTTAAAAACTATTTAAAGAAATTTATCGGACAAGATAATTGTTGTGTCTTTGTAAAGGATTGCAGTGAGAACTCACACAGTGCTCCATCCAATAATAAAATGCAGTCTTTATTTCACATGCTTCCGTTTCTTATTAAAAATAACTTGTATAACAATGGCCCGCTCGCTTGTGTGTCGCGTAACCCCCGGGAACCGAAGTCCTCACACACCTCTCTGTATTCCGCACACCAAGATATATATCGTACCACGCCACGCGGCGCGACACGCAACTCGCGACCGGAAAACGACCCGGTCGCCCCCTGGCCGATGACCGTGCGCACAAACGATCGCGGCCCACGCGCCAATACAAAATACAACATGTATACAACAATAATTTATTTATTTTGAACAATAAAAGCAATGCTGTTGTCAATTACTGTTATTATTATTTCTTGTTGGTTACGTGCGCAAAATTAGCGATGCAAATTCACCTCAATTTCCGTAATGGACTCGTAAAGTTCATAGTCCTCTTCTTCCTCGTGACTGGTAGCGCTAGGTGGTTTATAAACGCTTTCAACCGATCCTTGAATGCTGCGACCGCTATGCAACGACAGTTTGCTGTCGACGCGCGTAATTTCTTTCTTCGATTGCGCCTGCTCGATGACATTCTCGTCGAAAGTCTCGTACTCGTCCTCGCTCTCTTTCGTTCGCGTCGGCAAATTTGCCACTAAATCCAAGTGTCTTATAAGAGTCGGCCGTTTCACCAATTCTTTGTCCGATCCCGCAGAATTGTAATTCTTCTTGGGTTCCGGCGGCGGCGGAACCGTCATTCTTCCTTCTGGAAACACAAATTTCATCATGACACTTCACAACATTGTTTTTTCATTTTTCATTTTACAAAGTGATCACATCTCGATTAAGTTACCCGCGCAAATGCGAGTTTGTTTTTTTTAAACTAACTTTGTGTTTTAATGTGCTCGTTGGAAACAGGTTGCTGCGATTTCGATTCATTGTGCAAGAAAGACTTTTGCAGAGGTTTATTATCAACAACTGCAACCGGTATTTTCTTCGACGGCAAAGTTTTCGGTTTCGGTCCCAACGTCGGTTTGTTCGCCGACTGATTGTTTTTGTGTCTCATCTCTTTGCTTTGTTTCTCTAAAGTTTTTTCTATCTGACTGTGCAGCTCCGAAACGTTTCTTGTCGGTGCTTTCATCTCCTCAAGATTCGTGTACGTATTCTCCTCTTCATTCTGACAAGATTCGCAATTGGCGTAAGTCTCCTCGTGCTCTGATTTTGCTAATGTTTGCTCCGACGGTATCCTGTTGAAAAAATACGTCATTTTCTGCGAACAACACGCTTGCTTCGTCGAGTTTGGTTTTACGCATTCCTGCGTCATCCCGAGGGAATTGCTCTCCTCGGTCGGTTCATCCTCCCAATCGGTTCCCCAGGACTCGTTGTCGCTCAGATGATCGTCGCTCTGTTGCATCTCGACAATCTTGTCCGGCACATATTTCTCCGGCGATTTGTTCAGTTCTTGCACAAACGCCCATAATTTCCTAAGAGAAATTCGATCGATGTAAATTACGTTTACCGACAAAAACGTATTCTAACGAGATTCTGATATATTTGTTACAAACTATGTTAAACGTTGGAAAGTTGTAACAAGCGGCAGAAAGAGATAGAACGTTGCACAATTGCGCGGATGTGGAGCGAAACGATCGAATATACAACCCACGCGCTAAAATTGTGCATATATGCATGCCTCGCAGTCAAGTCATCAAAGTAATTTATCCGATCGCGTGAGACACTTCCGTTAAAATAGCTTGCGTGTTCAAAAAAAAGTCGATAAAGAAGAAAAAAAAACTTGTCACGTGAAACATTCTTGCCTTGTTGAACATGCCAACGAGAGAATGCGTTCGTGTTTCAATGTGTGATAAATAAATTTAATAATTAAGAAAATTGTAACGTAATATATATAAATTTCAACATGCGCGATATGTATAATTTGAACAACTTAAAACAATTGTAAATAACTCTGAGATAATCTTTTGAGAGAAAGAAATGTCGCGCGGGTTCGTTGTAAGAGAAAAAATTGAACAAAAAAACATCAAACGGACAAATTTTTACACCGAAAAAATTATATTCTTGTAAGTAGAAGATTTTATACTTAAAAAATCTTCTTCAAGATTTTAGATTGATATTCTTCTGAAATTAATAATATATTCTTTATTTAAGAATATAGTCTTTTTTGATAGTGAGATATATATGTTTTTCTATGGAGGTTTTTTATATTCTAATCAGTATATATTCTTATATCAATATTACTATTTAGAGGATTTTCCTCTTCAAATAAGAAACTCTTCTTGGCGCCTATTTTAGTATAAAAACTTACTTAAAGTAAGTGGGATATCTCTCTCCTCAAAACAAGAATACAATTTTTTCGGTGTAAGTATTATCGCGGCCTTTTCTGCTTGACGGTCGTATGTATCTCTGTTACTCATACTTTTGGCGTAATATAAACTCGTGTAAACGACATGCGAACACGACGAGTTGCGCCGCATACTGAATAATCGATGTACCGTTAAGAGACGTGAATTCCGCGAAGAGGAGAAGAAATAGAGAGAAAAGAACAGTGCAACACAGAACGCGCATGAACAGAAATAAAGCTGGAACGGTCTCTCACCCCATCAGCGGACGCGTGAGGTCACTCTTCCAGAGAGCCAGCTTGCCATCTGTCAAGTGCTGGAATAATTACAATTAATTAAGGAACAGCGCTAAGAGAGCGCACGCGTCTCGCCGCCGGCTGCCTTGAAATATTGCTGTTACGGCCGGAAAAAAAAAAAAAAAGCGCGCGTTATCAATGGCAGTGGGCAGATAATGATTATTGCTCGCGTTATTGCGCGCGTCTCTTATATTATGACGAAAAATAAAAGCTAGTTGACGACGCAAAGTCGTAAACTAAATTAAATAAAAAAAAAAAATATATATATTATTTTTCTTTTTAAATCACACGAAGAATCGCTTTAAGCGCAAACGGAAGAATATGAACAACACAACACGTTGTGTGTGTGAAAAAATTCTGTCAGTGTATAAAAATTATTTATTACTCACAAGCAACTCGTCGCCGTCGATTTGTCGCTTCAGCACCGCCTTGCAACAATCCTCCAGTTCGTTCTGCAAAGTTAGAAAATGAATTTCATTTAACAGAATATATCAACGACGCGTTGATAAAACTTTCTGATAAAACCAAAGAGGAAATGAATGACAATAATGATTCAAACGGAAATGTCTTCACACATTCCAACGTTATTTATCTTGCTGACAAATGTAGCAGGCAATTATATACAAAAATGATTGTCTGGATACTGTAACAAATTTCTAAAATCTCAATAACTTTAAAAACGTCTCAACATATCAGAGTATCAGCGATCGAGTCGATGAGTCGGTGATACTTTTAATCGGGAAATCCGAGAAAGTTACGCGCGAAGAAACGTCCCTTTCGCCGGCCGAGTTCTCGGAATGTCCCTATCTCGCTCGACAATTCAAAGCTCTCGTTGTACATCAAGAAAATTGGAAAGTTTTCAAAACAACAAGGTAAGTCTGCTACGTGTCTGCGTTATCCAGATGAATTCAAAAACATTCCAAATAGATTCAGACAGTTTCATAGACAGTTTAATAGACAGTTTCACCGTCTCTGATCAATTTAAAGTTAATCAGATCGATTAAGCGTCGATCAAGCTTGGCTCTATTCGATTGGAATTAACTGAGAGAATAATCGATCGTTAAGTTAATCTCTGGAGAGTGACGAAACAGGATTCGTAATAATTTAAAAATCTGACAAATTATTACACCGAAAAAATGGTATTCTTGTTTTGAGGAGAGATATCCCACTTACTTTAAGTATATCTTATACTAAAATAGGCGCCAAGAAGAGTTTCTTATTTCAAGAGAAAAATCCTCTAAATAGTAATATTGATAAGAATATATACTGATTAGAATATAAAAAGCCTCTATAGAAAAAATATATATATCTCACTATCGAAAAAGACTATATTCTTAAATAAAGAATATATTCTTAATTTCAGAAGAATATCATCTAAAATCTTTAAGAAGATTTTTTAAGTATAAAATCTACTTACAAGAATATAATTTTTTTGGTGTATATATATATACACGTACACACCGAAAAAATTGTATTCTTATTTAGAGGATATCCCACTTACTTTAAGTATATTTTATACTAAAATAGGCGCCAAGAAGAGTTTCTTATTTCAAGAGAAAAATCCTCTAAATAGTAATATTGATAAGAATATATACTGATTAGAATATAAAAAGCCTCTATAGAAAAACATATATATCTCACTATCGAAAAAGACCATATTCTTAAATGAAGAATATATTCTTAATTTCAGAAGAATATCATCTAAAATCTTGAAGATTTTTTAACACGTTGACTGCCAGACACGCATGTTCCATGGTTTGCCCAAGGCGCCAACGTGAATTTTTCATTATGCGATGCATATTACGTCGAAATATTATTTGCAGCAAATAAAGTGAGTTATAAAATCACGCTTGAAGCATTTTTCGTGCTGGAGGTCACCGGTGACCTCCACGGCGCTGTAGATTATTGAAAAATTTATCAGTATCCATATTTACTCTAATTATGTACTTTTATTATTTGCTGCGTCGCCGGTCANCGGTGGCCCCCACGGCGCTGTAGCCAAGTCGAGCGCCGGTCACCGGTGACCCCCATGGCAGTCAACGTGTTGAGTATAAAATCTTTTACTTACAAGAATATAATTTTTTCGGTGTAGAAAATACGGCGGTTTGTCAGCTCGGAAGTCGGGAACTTCCTGAATTCGCAAAAAAAAAAAATCGCTGAAGAAAAACTCTTGGAATCAAAAGTTAAAGTAAAAAAACCACGCCTTTTTTTCCCGCGGCGATAATTCTCTCGCTCTATAAATATACGCACCTCACGTATTTATCGCTAGCGCACGCACGCACGCACGTGCGCGTCTCGCGTTATTCGCCCCGCGCTAGGTGTTTCCCCGCTAATCCACGCTTTGACGGAGTCAGCGACCGTCGTTAGAGTTGTTTTTTATTTACATTCCGCGTACCTACTTTCCGTATATATAGCACACTGCGGCGTGCGCGTTTGTGTATATATTCCTAGTATCCGTCCTTTCTTTATCTCGAGAATTTCATAGATAAATTAGATTTCTTTGACACACGTTAAGGAAAAGATAAAATTGAACGCAAAGATGTTCAAACGCTAATAACTCGCGGACTAATTTGCACATCTACACCTTGCCACCACACCGAATGTTTTCAACCTGTTGCTCTCCGCCTGTGAAAATTTATCAATCGATCAAACGATTTCTCTTGAAGCTCGAACGAAGAAACGGAAATACCATCCGATATACAAATCGCGAATCGAGAAATCGCGACGCGATGACGCGGGTTGGTCGTGGCCAACTTCTCAACGCACTCACCTTGCGCAGCAGTGCCAACACCTCTTCCGTGCCCCAAGCGGAGATGTCGTCGAGCGCTTCGCTCCGCGTCGACCTCGTGGACATCCCGGCCTCGTGCGATTGAGATCGTGATTATATTTAAAAAAAAAAAAAAAAAAAAACCCAACAACACGTGCACGCTCGCCGCTCGGCGGCATCTACGTCGGCTTTTTGCGGCTTATGGCCGTCTGACAGGTCCCCCCCCCCATCGTTCACTTCCCGTCACCCTTCCTCTCGATCCGCCCGGCCAACACCCTCGCGAGACGCGACGGCCATTCGCGCGATTGGTCACTTTCCCGTAGCGCACCTGCGCATCAGGTCAGTCACAAGTGCCCTCTCACATTTCCACGAGAAATGTGATCCAGAAGAGGACACAAAAGAAGATCCACAGCTCCGATTACATCTTTTTGTTTTTCTTTTCTTTTTCAAATCTAACGTGTAAGAAACACGTGAGTATTGATTATTTAAATAATTATTTTTTTATAAAAGAAGATCCAGCTCCAATTACATCTTTTGTTTTTCTTTTCTTTTTCAAATCTAATGTGTAAGAAACACGTGAGTATTGATTATTTAAATAATTATTTTTTTTTTGTTTTTTATCGCGCGTACAATATTAAACACTTGATCCTCTCTCGTTTTGCGCGTTAGCTTTCATAATTCTTTGATTAATTTGAAATTCATGTTTTCACAAAGAACGCTTTGAGCTTTTTTGAAAGTAACGCGCGCATTGTTGACGGGGGTGGGGGGGAGGGGGGAGAAATAAGTACAATACGCGCAGTTTTGAGTTAAAGCTAGGCTGAATGGTTACTTACTTTTTTAAATTTGAGAGTTTTAAATCGTCAAGATTTAAAACTTTCGCTTTTTAAAAAAGTTCTCACACACGGACACGATGGGTGGTGTGCGATTTGGTACGCGAGTTTGGAGTCTCAAACAAACGCAAATATCGCGCATCAATCGCGTTTTTAATTTTTTCTACATCACGCGATACATTCAGCATAATCCAAAAAATTGTCGACCGTCGAAGCAACCGACTGGAAATGGAAAGAGCAAATTTCACAAAGCGCATGATCCATGCGCTCCATCTCGATTACGCGCATGCTCAGATTTACTATCTTCCTTCTCGTTACTAAATATATATAACATCATACTCTCTTCTTCTCAAAAAATTCTGCTGCCATGAGCTCGGTGCCGGAGGTCGCGTAGACGTCTTTGTTGTCGCGACAGTGTTTAAGGAAGTCATTTCCACTCAGACACAAAACCAGGAAACGAGGATAACAATGTCTGTCACCGAGCTAACTTCGGAGAAGGAGTTCAACGACTTCGTCAAGTGAGTAATTTGAGAAAATTCAACACCCGCGAAACGTTCCCACATAACCTCATCTTTTCGCCGCTATATCAAGATATTAGTATTTTGCGCGAGAGTAACTGTTTGGAATTGTAATTACACAAAAGAAGAAATTTAATGCTTTTGTTATTTCGCCAGTTGAGATCGAAGCGTTTTGTTCTTCAATTTTGTATAATAATTAATGACAGGCTTATCGCAATGTGTATGATTAAAAAAAAAAAAAACAATTGCTCTTTGATCTTTCGTGATTTCTCATGATGTTTGTTTTTACACAAGGTCAAAAGAACTTTCCGTCGTTCATTTCTATGCACCGTGGGCAGAACAATGTACTGTAATGAACGGGGCGATAGAGGAAATGAGCAAGAAGAACAATCTCGTCAAGTATGCCAAGATTGAAGCTGAAAATGTACCTGATCTTTGTCTGAAGTTTGGAGTGTCTGCTGTACCCACTTTTCTTCTCTTGCGAAACAGCAGTGTGACAGATCAAGTAAATGGTGCAAATGCTCCCATGCTGAACGAAAAGGTCCGGTATCATACAAATAATACAGATGCCCCATCACTCGACGCAACAAAGAAGGAATCACTCGATGACAGACTAAAGAAATTAATAAATCAAGCTTCTTGCATGCTGTTCATGAAGGGAACTCCTGCAAATCCAAGATGTGGCTTCTCTAGAACAATTGTTTCCATCCTAGATAGTTATAATGCAGATTATCAATCGTTTGATATATTAGAAGACAATGATGTTAGAGAAGGACTTAAAAAATATAGCAACTGGCCAACTTATCCACAATTGTATATAAATGGAGAATTGATCGGCGGATTGGACATAATAAAAGAGGTTCACGAGTCTGGGGAACTGGAAAGTATGCTACCGAAAAAAAGTTAAAAGTAAGTAACAAAAAAGTATCCAAACAAAATTTTTATTTATTTTTGAATTTAATACACCAGATCTATACTTGACACTAGCTTTATTATAAGTTTTTATAATTGAAAACATTGTTCCAGGACCTTCAAAAAGACCTTATTAAATGGATATTGAGACTGTATAAATATACAGCAATTTACAAAATATGATATAATTTATGAATAATTTAAGTTTATAGTTTGTATTCTATAGTTCCGCGTTCTGATAGTTACTACCAGATCCGCTGGAAATCTGTAAACATGTTGCATTACAGATTTTTCATACCTACAGTAAATATCAGAACACTGTCTATAATTTATAATAAAGTTTGTGGAAAATGTTCATTTCTTGTTCAAAATCGCGAAATAAATTTCATTTTTTTGCTACAGAATAATAATTAAAAAATTTCCCACTACGTAATGTAACGTCTGTGGAATAAAACCAAAGGGTAACCATCCTGTTGCATGTTTTTACGACGCTCTCGGTCACTGATTTCAGCGCCATACATTCACAAGTACAAAGAGGAATTTATAAGAACCACGAAGCGACATCATTCATGTTTAGACGTAGATGGATATACGGACAAATGTAATTCGGTTTGAGTCCGTACTATGGACGTTCACTTCGCTGTGCAATAATGATTGCACTCAAATCGGTACGAAATCCACTTTTGTAGGTGTAATGACGCAGTAATTAGTGGCTAGAGGACGACGATTAAACGTTCGGTTATTGATACATATGTACGTTTAATTAATACGTTTTGATCTATCTGATCACAGTTTGTTTTTTAACATCGATTGAATATTAGAGAACCTATTTTTGGGAGGATTTGATTTAATATTCGAGTCAAAGAGATGCACACATACATAAGTAATTTGACACGATTCTCTCTAAATATTTTTTCTGATTATATGTTATAAATCAAATATCGCGCTATTGCAATTAAATACGGACGTCTCGGCGGAACAGACAATCGTTCATGTCGTTCGCGAAGCATTTATCTATTCGTGTCATGTATGTTTCCAATATCGTCGAAAACTTTCGTTTAAGTACGTTAGGTTATCGCACGCGGTAGTGAAATTAATGACGAAAGTTTTTTTTTTTATGAGAGACGATAACGCAAAATAATAGCCATAATTCTACGTCAAAGGCAACATCTAATCTACATTGTTTGTAACTGTATGTGTGAGAGAATGTAGATAAATTCAAATAATGTAATACAAAAGAGTTGGTAACGTGTTTCCGAGAAATATTAAATTTATGAATAGCTTTTGTCAATTTGCAATTCCATTGTCTTCGTAAAAAAATTACTTTGTGTTAGTTCTTGGTACTGTGTTTATTTGTTTCAACACCAGGCACACATTCGCAAGCTCGAATAATTTTCTTTGCAACAAATATCTCAAAAAAAAATATATATATATATATATATCTCAAAGGAATTTTCAGTTAGCAAAAAAAAAAAAATACAGTAATTTTAATTATTTTAATGTGACCGTAATATCACTCGTGAAGGTGATATGTATTACGTTCATAATTCGCGCTCATATAATCACGCTTTGCATGCGTAATTTAATGACACAACGTAATTGCAATGCCGGACGTACTTGCAACCTTTACTGTAAATTAGAAAATTGCTGTGTCGATAGAAAAAATAGCTCTTACGGCTCGAGAAATGTGCTTAATCATCGAAAAATTTTTATTAATCAAATGTCACACGTTCTTTCGTTGCGAGATGAAGAATGTTTTTTCTATCTTTGATTCAGCAAAATACTGAATTTTGATTCTGTACAGAAAAATAATTGAAAAAATATTTATTATTACTCCGTTATTTGCATTAAATAATCAATGTGCTAGTAAATTTATTCAATAATGTCTCTCGCGGTTGTTTATCCGTCGAATTGCGCGAGTGTTCGTTATCGTGTCATGATAGTGTGACAAATCGACAAAATTTTTTTATCTATTGACGTTCAGCAAGAAAAAGACGTTGAATCATGAATGAATTTGCTTTTGTTTACTTACTTGATTATTATCAAAAGCGAACAAGTACGTGGAACAAATGTTGAGTATAAAAAAGAATTTAAAGAAACAATTTTATATATAAAAAATTAATATTAATATTTATAAATTTAATATCCATGTATTTTATTTTTTTAGGAGTTTAATTGCTAAACTTGACGTGTCACAAAAATTGCAACTGCGATCAAAGTTAAGAAACTTTGAAAATTGCGTGCAGGTTGAGGAGAATTTTTAAACTTTTTTGTCTCTCATCCAGAACGAGTAACTAGAGAAACTTTTATTATCTGATGCGTAGGATGCGCTTTTCCACCAATACGATAGCCTGATTTCGACCTCTTTCTCCTAACGAGAAAGAGAAAAAGATATCGTGTCCCACGATGACGTCGCATTCGCTTTTTGGTATTGATTGTCTGACGTCATCGGATAATATCCCACGCAACAGAAGTCCTTGATCTCGCGACAGATTTTCCGTGTGTATCAAACAGATTTTTTTAAATCTCACGTACCTCTCAATAAGATACTCGGAAAATCTCGAGCGATAATAGTATATTACTAATTTTTTTTTTTTTTTTTGCAGTGTGTTTTCTTGTTTTGTGCGAGATATCATGCCATTAGAACTAATATGTACACGAAATGTGATACATAACGCGATAAAATTACGTTAAAGAATTTAATATTAACAAATGTGTGGTTATTGGCTGTTTGAAGCAGACACGGATGCCAATGTGTGTATTTAAATAGTTTATTGTAACAATATCATAAAGCTTTCGACCTTCGGTTCAGGTTTTTTTCAATATGGTTCTACAAAACAATAAATAATATATAGCTCGCAATAAAAAATACATTACAGTTAACAAAACTAATGTGGATCGAAACGTTTGTTTAAACTTTTTTGAAAATCTTAGAATTATAAAAGAATTGTAGCCGAACATCTGGTGTTAGCTTGATATTGCCATTTTCTTAATTCTTTCCATCGCTACATTTTTGTAAATTTTGTTAACTATAATGTATTTTTTATTGCGAGCTATATATTATTTATTGTTTTGTAGAACCATATTGAAAAAGACCTAAACCGAAGGTCGAAAGCTTTATTGACATTGTTATAATAAACTATTTAAATACACACATCGGCATCCGTGTCTGCTCCAAACAGCCAATAACCACACATTTGTTAATATTAAATAAATAAAAAATTTTGGAGCTGTTTTCATATCTATCATTATTTATTATCATTTATTAAAGAATTTACATAATAACGCAACGTTGGATGCAAAACCACAGCTGTTCATTGTCACATTTCTTTTCTCTCATCATCGGCATGCATTTCCATATTCAACTATTCTTTCCTATATAACGCAAAAAAAAAAAAACAATAATGATAACATTATTCACGCGTAATGATAATTTTATTTACGCATTTAAATTTACGTTAATAATACGCTAAGATGCAAAGATAGATCTCTTGTTACTGATGTCTATTGATATCGAAAGTAATTTTCTCGCTTCTTTTTTCTGCTTCCAACACCGCATCTTACGAATCTTGAAATGATATTTCGTCATCCACGGGATAATTGATTTTTCCACCAAGTAAACAATGCGGCAACAAGCATTAGTTGGACGTTTATTCGAGTCTCTTTTACGTCAGTCATTTTTTTCTTTTTTTTTTTTTGGTGGGAACTCTCGTACGGTAATTCGTACGTTGCCAACCATTTACGGGGGGGGGGAATGGGGGGGGGGGGGCGATCATGCGAGTTAATGCCAAAGAAACCGGCCATCTGGCCGGTGGTTGAAAAGGGGTGTCGGAAGAGGGACAAAAATCGCGCGCGCGGTCTTTTTCTATCTTCTTTTTCTTTTGTCCAGATCTTTCATTCTATTCCCCTCTCTTTTATCTAACTCCTGAAAATTCTTTCACCGGTTTCGAATGCGCAGGATTTCTCGCTCGGCCAATTTTTAATGTCGATCCGAACAGACTACGTGTAACAAACTGAACTTATTGCATATCACATTTCCGGAATAACATTCTGGAGATTTGATTTCTCAACAAAATCTGTGAAAAAAAAAATCACCTTTTTCCCACTGAGAAACGAAACCAACACGTGTTGTGTACAACAATATTAACCTTTTCGCTCCGGGACTGGTCCATATATGGATCAGCAAGAAAAGCGAACGTAATAGATGTTTATAAGGTCAATTTAATGCACTAAATTTAGGAAAACAATTGAAAAAAAATCCTGGTTACTTCTTTGACCTTCAAAATTAACTTTGAAGAGGGGGGGGGGGTAGCAGGTTATTATTAACTTTTTCAGCTAAAATGCGAGGTCAATTTTAAAGGAAAAATCCCCGGAGCGAAAAGGTTAAACTACTTAATCGCATTAGGACGTTGACTTTTCTTCGCCGCGCGCGCGTATCCGTATATTTTTTCTCGTCTCTTCTGATCTCCGTGTCTCAAATTAGATTAATATAATTCATCGCGCGTCATCTAGTCGGGTTTCTTTGCCTATTTAAACTACGCGAGTAAGCGCGAAACAAAAAAAATCGCCGCGCGCAGCACATGCGCATCCGCGCAAGAGAAAAAGAATTTTATCTCGTTTCTCAACTCTTTGCTTTCTAACTGTGTTTGATATCCCATTAATGTCCTTTTTCATGTATTGCCTGCGTGTGTATTTAAATCACCCTTTCGCCCCCTCCGCATCCGCTCCCTCTTCTTCTTCTAGTTCTTTCGTGCGATTTTATTTTTCTTGTTCCTAAAATCTCTCGAGGGTGGCGTGCTTGTGAGGCGACCGATCGCTCAATACGCTCCATCCGAGGGTGGCACGATGACTCGCGGTGGCGCGTTTTCCCTTCGCTCACGTACGCAACACACACCCAACACCAACCAACACTCGTGGTGTGTATGAGTGGAGCCCGAACAGATCGGAGCAGACAAGAGCGGCGGTCATTCAAAGCCCGACCAGCGTGCCGAGCACACTTCGCGCTTTCGTCCCAACCTTCGTCCTCGTGGCTCCCACAAATCGCATCGTTCGCGAGATCGTCGATAAAAAAAAAGATCGTAAATTTAGAGTAGTGCGCGATATCATCGACGACGACGTGACGACGTTCCATTCCCAACCCCGTCCCCCAACAGTGCTCGAGAGTTTGATTTTTTTTTTTTTTTTTGAACAGCGATCAGAGAAAAGCTGGCCGCAAACGCGAGATTCGAAAAAAAAAAAAAAAACGAGATCGCACCATGGCCGGCGTCTGAGATCGATCCTCCACAGTGTGCAGTGACGTGCGCGCCAAATTTCTCGTCGCAATTCCTCGCAATTTCCTGAATTGACTAATTAAATCGCGACACGTTCGCGAAACAGGTGAGAAACAACGTGTATCGTCGTCGTGATCATCATCCGACGGCGCAAACGTAAAACGCGTCGGAAAACGTCGACGCGCGACAATCTCCAAAAAAAAAAAAAAAGTGTCCGGAGTGACGCGCACGGCTCCGGAAATCTCTTCGCGATGTTGAATGAAAAATTCGGCGAAATTTTTTGTCGTCGTTCGAAAGTAACGGATCAAAAGTTGGATTATTGATTGCGAACACCGATAAAACGCTTTACTTCCGGTGTGTTCGAGAAAATGCGACGTGATTCAAGCGCGGCTGACCGTTGCGCGTCTCTCGCGCAGCATGGCGGCTTTTCGGATTGCCTCGCATCCGATCGGCCGGGGGTTGTTTCCAAGGGAGTGTTTTTTTTGGGGAGGATATAAAGAAGGTTGAAGGACTGTTCTCTCTCGCGCGAATCTCGGGGATTTGCGAGAAGCTTTTTTGCTATTTTTCGCGCGAGGCAAAATTCGGTCGAGCAAAAGAGACGAGAGATTGCAAATCAATTTTGCATTGATGTTGTGCATTCTGCGACTCTTGCGTATTAAAATTTGTTTTATAACAACAATTGCGCTTGTCGGCGTGTAGTATCCTCGCGACGTGCAGGAAATTAGAAAAACACGCGCTGTCGCCGCGCAACCGCTTTTGCAAATGTCACATCGCTACGCTTTGTCGTATAGATGCGAACGCGAGGAAGAGTCTCACGCGAAGAAGAAATTTATACCGTTAGTTCAAACAAATTCCCCAAGTAGAATTCACATTTGACATTTCAGTGATTTTTCTCGTAAAAAGAATTTTTTTCTTTTTTTTTTTTTTTTATTTCGACGTGCTTCGTATTTCGCAATATTGCGAAAAGATTTTTTTTTTCCCTCGTTTCCAAGTTGATTCCGGCGTGTGCGTCTCGATGAGACACGTGTCTAATATTAAGTGCGCGACGCACAATTTAATATCGATTCTTTTATAAATAGCTAGAGTTAATTCGCACAGAGAACGGAAGTTTATCAAACGTTTGTTACGATCGAGAGGAAACAATCGCAAAACTGTTTGCGATAACGACACTAAATAACTTTTTCGTGTTCTTCGTCGTTTTTTAATGTCACTTCGGAAACATTTTATTTATCGAAAGAAAAAAATGCGATAAAAGAGAATTATCTTCGACGTTAAAAGACCGCGAATTAGACCTTCTCGAACTTCCTTTTTCCTAAGAAATTTATTTCTGAATGTAATCGTCTTATCGTTTCCGTTTCATAAGTGTTCGTATCTTCGCAATATCCGCGTGTGGCGTTTTCTTATCGACATTACGCATTTGGGAAAGAACGCGGATAACGGGCGGATTCTCCTGGTGGCCGAGCCCCGATTTGGCACATCGGTCGCCGCGCGCGTCATTATCTTGCGGCATTGATATCGGATGGCGAAAACTGGGTTCGGGAAACCCGGTCGGCGACCTACGTTGGCCTATTGATTTTCTCGTCAGCCGCTCGTTCGCTCTCTGCTTATCGCTGCTGGAAACTGGCCCTTTCGTTAGCGGTTAAATGTCGCACGTGTGAATAACGCGAGACTCTCGAGTGCACTCGAGAAAGACTCTAACCGATACGCACGAGAATCAAAAGCGTAATTTTCGCGACACGTTAATCGCCAGAACTTCAAACAAAATTAATATTAAAGAAAAACACGCCACTTAATTTAACGACGAACTGATTGTTGTTCGAATAAAATTGCGATAATGCGCGCGGAATCATTTTCGGACTTTGTTTTTACGCGCAAAGTCCGAAACGTCAAGAGCGAATCAGCCGATTTGTCATTTTCGTAAAATGATACGGAGCCATCGTTCTTCGCGAATGGTAATCGATGATACCGGTGTCTTTGCTCTCGCCACAGGTGTCTTTAACCACAGTTCGCTTCAAGCCAGCGCGCCAACACGCGCCGGAGGTCAGTTTGGGATCAATAAAAAGTAATGATGCAACATTCGGCCAGACTTTCACGGGCACCCATGGGCTTGTGTCGCGGACTTAGTCAGCACGCGCTGAAATTAACGAGCGATTTAATCTCGTTCCATCATACATTCCATTCTGCACGGATTTAAAATTTAAAACACAAAAAACTTGTTAATGTTATTTATCATTTTATACTCCGTGGGAAATAAAAATTATTTTCTAACGCGAAATATATAAACGTAATAAGAGCTATCCCTACGCTGGATGTTTGTTGCGGAAATATATATATATATATTACCTGGAATCTCCGGGAATTTTCCAATTCAAAACTCACGTGTAATATATATATATATATATATTATACGTGAGTACGTATATATATACTTATACATGTAATATATGTATATATGTATACATATATATACGGAATTCAAAACTCACGGATATATAGATATATATATTACACGTGCGTTTTGAATTGGAAAATTCCCGGAGATTCCAGATTCGACTTCTGGCCGAAGTGTTTTTCTCCGCATTATTTTAAAATTAGGTAGGCAGGTATACGGGGTTCTCTCATATACGTGATTCAAATATAGCATCGTAAATGAATTTACGAATTGAAATTTTAATTCGAAAACTCATGTGTAAGATTTACACGAATGTAAGATTTATGTGAATGTAATAGATTACATATATATAAATATATTTAAATAAATAAATAATGATAGATGTAGTCAGCTTCAAATTTTTTTTTTTAAATTAAATAACGTTAAGACATTGACAATGGCTGTTTGAAGCAAAACACTGCTGATGATGTGTATGTAATGTGTAACTTTATTTGAGAAAAAACTAATGTGTATATAACACACACACACACACACACACGTTATATATTAGTTATTTAATTTTAGTTATTTAATTTTATATATATTTATTTAGATTACATATATATATATATATATATATTTTTGCACAACAAACATCCAGCGTAGGGCTCTTATTATATTATTTATATATTTCGCGTTTGAAAGTTCAGAGCCTAAGACTCTTTATTAATAAAAATTATATCATAAATTTATCAAATTGTAAAACAAGAAATATAATGTGTTAGGATGAAACAAATTCTATAACAAGTAAACGGTAGAGTTCTGTTCAAGCATAGTAAAACTTGCATTTAATGAAATAAGTTCAATTCTGTTTTTTTTTCTCTAAACTAATTGAAGAAATAATACTTCAGAAAGTAACAGGACGTCCGTTGAACTGATGAAAATATAAAGTTAGGTTTCGCGGAACGTCTGGAACACAGAACGTCTGGCACAACGTCTCGGGAGGGGGAATTAGAGACCGGTATTGTATAGAAAGGATAAAGCTGTATAGATAATGCTCCTGTAAGGCTTGGACACAAACCTCTTTCGTTTTCAAACACACGTTTGTTCACGAACATCCGTGTGTACAAAAGAGAATCGAAGAGAATCCGCCATGGACGCCATACGTACGCGTTTTCTTCTAAGTGTGTGTGTGTGTGTGTGTGCAACAGCTGAAGCAGTAGGAGTGCGAGACTGATGCATTAAGACTTTGAATCAAGGGGGTTCTGCAATGCGTTTGCGTATCGCGAAAAATATCCTAAGCAAAATCGCGTAAATCTAAAAACTACAACGCGAATATCCCAATTGTTGACAATTTGATTATTCAATTCGAAAGTGTTTTTACTTAAAACAGAAGATCAAAACGCTTGTATTTTACTTAAATAAATCAACTTGGAAAGACTCTGGAAATAGAAAAAAAAAAAATAATTTTCTTTAACGAAAATTCGTCTTCTAACTTCTGAACTGAAAAATCTTTTTTGTTTGATTCTTGAAAGAAATTCTTGAAATACGTACTAAAAAAACAAGAAATCGTACGGTATGCACGGAGGTTTGTTGGGATTGTAACGCGAGAATGTCACACGACATCCGACACTAAACACATCGTATCGCGAGACGAAACGTCGTCGTGTAATGTGTGATTAAAGACCCGGCCACACGCTGAATGAACTCACACAGACGGAAACAAATCGTTTTCGACAATTTGACACACAAATGATTTTGACATTACAGTAAGATTCATTGACTTCAGAAAAACACAAATCATTTTTTTTATCATTTTACCGCTTATCGGTAATAAAACATTTCTCTCGCTGCGTGAAATGTTTCTTCAAACTTGTTGGAAAAAAACAAGACACAACAGTGGATTAAGTTAAAACTTTGAGAATCTGTTAAACATCGCTGTGAAAAATGTGACCGTTTAATTTTTACAATACTGTTGTTTCAAAACGTGACAGGCAGTTGGAACTTAAAACACGGGTGTTGTTGTGCGATATGTGATGGAAATATTATTTATTCATGTATATAAATGAAACATAATAACGTTTCGACCTTCAGTTTAGGTCTTTATCAAATTAATTATGTGCTGTTTAACAAACTTCGTACAATACAATGGTGATAAGTAAGATGTTACAATAAGTCGTATCGCAAACAAGAGAGAGTCGTACGTGACATCTTACTTATCACCATTGTATTGTACGAAGTTTGTTAAACAGCACATAATTAATTTGATAAAGACCTAAACTTGAAGGTCGAAACGTTATTATGTTTCATTTATATACATGAATAAATAATATTTCCATCACATGTCGCACAACAACACCCGTGTTTTTAGTTCCAACTGCCTGTCACGTTTCGAAATTTACATATTTTTGGAACTATTTGCCCTTTTTCTGAATTAGAACACTGTTGTTGTTGGTTTAAATGGGTTCTTAACGGTATTTCAAATTTTCCGGTTACAGTTAGGCAAGTGTGAACCCCTTTTGCAGGGTGTGTTATGCGAATAAATGAATCTGTAGTGTTTTGCTTTTCAAACGTTTCGGTTATATTTTTAACCTTCTTCAGTGAATCTTTGTGAAACGATCCCTCTTAATTTTAATAAAAAACGAAACGTTTTTTTATAAAAAAGTTAAAAAGTTGTACGTGTCAATTATAAAATTTATGTTAGTCTGTTTACTGTGTGTGTGTGTGTTGAAAGTTTCGTCATTACTGTAATGTCATTACTGTTTTCGTCAATACTGTCATTACTGTAATGAAGAAACTTTCAACACACACACACAGTAAACAGACTAACATAAATTTTATAATTGACACATGCAACTTTTTAACTTGAAACTTTTTTATAAAAAAACGTTTCGTCATTCGAAAAATTAAGAGGGATCGTTCGACAAAGATTCACTGAAGAAGGTTAAAACTTAATTAAAAGAAAGTTAAAACATTTAATTTTTATTTTTAAAATGTTTGAATATTGAGAAAAGTTGTATCGTGCAACGACGTGTAGAAAAAAATGAGGAGTAAATCATCTTCTCCTCTTTAATATTAAAATATCTGCGGCAGCGAGTGACGTAACGCGGGCTCGACTATCGATTAGCAAATCGAACGATCGTGAAAGAGAAGGGAGATACAGAAAAACAGCATTAAAATACACTATGTATGTATATTTTAATAATTTAAATCGGATTGCGCGCGCGCGAAACAGATGTACCGTATCGAGAAACAGGTTTGTCTTCTGTTTTGAAGCTAGATGTCGGATAATAACAAGGCGTATCGATAATTGCTAGTTGTTTAGGCTAACAGTGGTGATCGCATCTACCGATCGCTCGGGATTACGATACGCGGACAGACCGGTGTGACGCAAAATTCAAATTAAGTCACTCGCAAGGCGCAAACTCGGCCTTTTCTCAGGCCAGCTTTGCTTGCGACGTAGCGCTTGCACTTTGACAGATAAGACGAAGTGGCATGAAGCGCGCAAATGATTCAGTCTTTATTCGGTTTGTTTTTCCTAAAAAAAAAAAAAGTGCGATAACGATAACGATGACGCTTTAACGATTATATAAATTTTCTTCTGTTAGTGAAATACACGGTTGTGAACAATTTGTAAGTAAACGAACACACGTTGCCAATAACAACATTAGAACGTAACAAACGCAAAATAAATCATCAATTGCACGTTGTCAGAATTTAATATTAACACATTGTTGACCAGCAATTTTACTGAAAATTTATCTCATGTCACCGGCTATTATTTCGTAATTGGAAGTGGAAGTAAAACAATAAAAATAAACTAATAAATTTTATTTAATTTAATTTTTTTTTTTTTGTTTTTAACGCATCACGAGTTAACTCGTGACCGGTCAGCAACGTTCGGCCATAAAAACACGAGTTAACTCGTGACCGGTCAACAATGTGTTAACATTTGTAACACGCGTGTGAATTGTTTCTTATATACAAAAAAAATTTTAATAACATCCACAGTTTTTTTTATCAAAATTTTCTATAGAACTTTTTGCCTGCACACAGAAAAATGCATACTGTATCAAGTATGTAATAAACTTATAAGATTTTCGTAAGTATTTAATTTACTCAAAATATACAAATTTACTAAGATTTAGAGTGTATTTTGAGTAAATTAAATACTTACGAAAATCTTATAAGTTATATATAATAAACTTATAATATCTTATAAGTTTATATTATATACTTGATATAGTATGCATTTTTTCTGTGTGTGTGTGTGGGTGTTTTCAAAAACGCGCACTTGCTCTTAATATTTTTCCAAATATAAAAAAATTTTCATTTACAATCAAGGCATTTAATTGTATTATACTCCAACTGATTTTTCACATAACTGAATCGATGAAAAGGTCGATAGAATTTTTTTTTTTTATTGACAAACCTGTTGCGCCGACAAAATGGAATCTGCTACGCGCTCACGAGAGAAATAAACTGATCGGAATAAACTTCCATTCCATTCGGAAGGATTCTCACTTGCTCGCACACGTATTCTCTTATCCTCATTTCTCCGAGATATATATCGTCGCTGTTGTTTAGTTTAAGTTTTTTCTCTGTTTCGCTCGTTTAGCTTTTATGCAACTGATGCATTATTCAGCGGACGGTGTGGATGGAAAATTCTCCGGGGGATAGAGAATCTGTCTTTTCTTAAAACTGATGAGAAAAGACAATCGCGCGGAAATAAATTCTCGATTTCTTACAACGGTATCTTACAATACAGACTTATCGCAGATAAGTCGTCGCGCCATTGTTGTGTAAATCGAGAGTTTTCTCTCTTACGCGAAAAATTGCAAGCGCGCAAAGTATTTGTTTTTTTTTTACGCATTATTTCTCACAATTATATTTCCTTACGATAAACCATTTAAGTGTACCTGACGCATTTGCGCGCGAAAACAACAACAGATTAGCTACGAGTTTTCAACGAACGTGAATCGTAAAAAACGCGCGCATGCAAAAAAAAAGAAAAAAAAAAAAAAGAAAAACAATTTCGCACGGAGATTTATGTGATTTATATTACATGAATGGCAACACATGTGTTGTAATGTGAAGATCATCGATTTGCTGGTTCTGGTAGCGCGGATATAATTAAATGTGTAGAGAGGGGTTGACAACTTGTTACGCAAGATGTTTTATATACCACGCGAGATTGTAATATCTAAATAAACTTGAGCGCACCTGTACACACGCGTGTGCTCGTTCTCTTGCGACTCGCTCGAGGCATATCTATTGAATGCGGATCAGCTCGTAAAATATCACGCGCGGATCCCCGTCGAGTAACTGTAATAAATCCAAGTGTATACTTAAATTTTTATCGAAAGCGCGTGCGCACAACAGGTTTAACACCGCAAGCTCATTATGTCGATCGAAATATACGTACATGTTAACATTTATGTAAATTATAGTAAGATGTGTGACGGCTTCGAGAGAATACATTAGGCGAATAAAAAAAAAAAAAAAAAAAAACAGTCATACAACGCAGGTGTTTCCGCGCGGAATGATTTTTCCTCGAGTGATCTTCAAACAAACATAGAAACTCACTTTGCAAAGATTCTAATCTACAAAGTTGGCGTATAATTAAACAATTATGACTTAAGGCTCGTTGAAATTAATAACAAGAAATATCAGGAGGTCTCTCATATGTGAGATGCAAAAATCCAGCATCCCGTACACCGAAAAAATTATATTCTCGTAAGTAGAAGATTTTATACTTAAAAAATCTACTTAAAGATTTTAGATGATATTCTTCTGAAATTAAGAATATATTCTTTATTTAAGACTATATTCTTAAATTAAATTTAAGAATATAGTCTTAAATTTTTAAATTATATTCTTAAATTATTATTCTTAGAATTTCTTATTTTAAGAGGAAAATCCTCTAAATAGTAATATTGATAAGAATATATACTGATTAGAATATAAAAATGATATTCTTAATTTCAGAAGAATATCATCTAAAATCTTTAAGTAGATTAAAATTAAATAAAATTTAAGAATATATTCTTTATTTAAGAATATAGTCCTTTTTGGATAGTGAGATATATATGTTTTTCTATAGAGGCTTTTTATATTCTAATCAGTATATATTCTTATCAATATTACTATTTAGAGGATTTTCCTCTTAAAATAAGAAATTCTTCTTGGCGCCTATTTTAGTATAAAATGTACTTAAAGTAAGTGGGATATCCTCAAAACAAGAATACCATTTTTTCGGTGTATGAATTTAAGAATTGAGTTTTCAATTCAAAAAACACTCACTTGTAAAAATTTACAAGTTGAATTCGTTACATGTGTATATATATATATATATATATACACGTACAGTTTCCTCTCAACATCTTGGGAATGGCTCGTAAGGCCTTATATATTTCTTGTTATTGGCGTATAATTTTCCGTCTTATCCGAACGTTAAACAAAAAGTTCTCGTAACAATGAGCACTTCCTCATTTGCAACTGGTTTAGCGATTGTTTAAAAAAGAGAGTGTAAAAATAGACCGGAATTTGTAAAATGTCGATTGAAACGGTATTGTTAAAAAAACTATCGCTTTGCGATTTATCGGTAATTACCAATTGGAAGCGCGAGGTTCCGCTTATCTCGCTCGAAGAGTTAAGCACATTTATTACACTTGTTAACTAACGTTCATTGTTCATTTCAGAAAGAATGTCAAAGTCAGGAAGCATCAAAGATGGCGAGAAGGGACCGTACGATCCGGTTCCGACCGCCGAAAAAGATGGCGGCAACGACGAGATCAAACTTGAGGCGAAAATGTCGCTTGTCAACGGCATCACCGTCATCGTCGGTTCCATCATCGGTTCTGGAATTTTTGTTAGCCCGACCGGTGTTCTTAAGTATACCGGAAGCGTGAACGCGAGTCTTCTCGTATGGACAGCGTCCGGAATTTATTCCATGGTGTGTGTGTGTTTATAGCTTTTTCCTTGTTTCCTCAAAATACTCTATTCGTCCTTAAATCAAAATTAATTTGTTAATAAATGTATTTTTACATATTTATTTTTACGGACGTATTTGCTTTTTAAATTTCGAATTGAACTTACTGATTGTTTCTACTATTTGGTTTGATGAAGAATCCTAGTAGTTTCGAAACCTTTTCATCGTTATTTGATCAACAATTGTGTTTAATTCTTCCCCCGTCTTTTTTTTTTTTAACGCAGATCGGAGCTTATTGCTACGCCGAGCTCGGGTGCATGATCAGGAAGTCGGGTGCGGATTACGCGTATATAATGGAAACTTTTGGACCCTTCTTGGCGTTCATCAGACTGTGGGTTGAGTGTATGATAGTGCGACCGTGCAGTCAGGCGATCGTAGCCTTGACTTTCAGCGTTTACGTCCTCAAACCGCTCTTCCCGGACTGCACACCGCCTGACGACTCCGTAAAACTGCTCGCCGCCTGTTGCATATGTAAGTAGTTGACGAAAAATAAACGTCGGCATTTCGAAACGATAGATAATAAATTTTGCAGAAATTCCGACGACTTTTACTGATGTCAAACTTTGTTAAAAAAAAAAAAAAAACAAAAAAAAAAACAAACTTCCTCAAGAGAAAGGTTTTTCGATCAAGTAAGATCGTTCGCGACGACTTCGTCGTCGCAGTAATTGATTTTTTTCAACGTAATGCTCCACATCGAAGACGCACGTTTCGAGATCCGCGAGTAAAGAAACGCAGTGTAAAAGCAATTAAAGTTTATTCGAGATGCTTATTGTACGTAATTGCAATCAAAGCAATGGGGGCAATGCCGATCCTCTGTGTGATGACTAATCGCGACACAATACCCGCTGAACCTTATTGGTCCGCACGTTTCATATGCACTAACCGTTTCAAACGAGCCGACTAATATAAGCTTACATAGAAAATTCGTCTTTCCCACAGTAGCCGCGCCCTTGACTGCACGCAGAATGTCATCTCTCCACTTTGGTTCCTCCATCTTTGATCTCTCTCCCCTCCCCTCCCTTCTCATCTAGATCAATTTTTGTTGCTCGGTTTTTGTTCACCGAACAACTCTCGTCTTATATTAAGGACGACTAGTTAAGATCTAGTTAGGGATGAGCATATGATATCGATATATCGACAATATGGATATAATTCTTTTGATATTTGATATTTTAGTATCGATATTCTGTTATTGATAATATCAAAAAGATATCGATAATTTTATTTGATATTGTCAATATTAATAATTATTGAATATATATATTATATATATATATATTATATCGTCACTCCCTACGTATAATTACATAAGTGTCACATATGGGATTTTCAGTTTATTGCATAGTGACACTCAGAAAGTCATGTTCTTTGTGGTCACCAAGTATTAAAAAAAAAATATTCATAAGTATGGTAAAAATTTAAAACCGAAAGATCCCTTAACTAGGGAAACTATATGAAGCTTTAAACTTTTAAACTGCTCTCCTCTAAAATTTGCGTTTTGGAGTTACGGGATTATACGTAGGGAGTGACGATATATATATTATATATATTCATTTGAATATATATATTATATATATTCAATAATTCCGATCAAACAATGCGATATTTAATATCAAATAAAATTATCGATATCTTTTTGATATTATCAATAACAGAATATCGATACTAAAATATCAAATATCAAAAGAATTATATCCATATTGTCGATATATCGATATCATATGCTCATCCCTAGATCTAGTTATCGCAAGATCGACCAGTTGCGACACAAATCGCAAACTAGCAGTCAATGAAATTTGTTTATTTTTTTTCTTACTTTTTTTTTTATATTTAATTAACAAACTTGGTTTTTCCGTCTTGCAATCTTATCAGATCTTTTTCTCCGATATCCACAGTCTATCTTTTCTTTCTTCTTTGAACTCGAACTGATTGCAAAATGTAATCGAAGATTGCGTCTTCAGCAAATCGCTTTTCGCTCGGATCTCCGTGTAAAAAAAATTTCAGTCTCTCTCTCTCTCGGTTTTTCGCTCGGTTTTCAACAGAATTTCCCGCGGAGAATAAGATCGGGATTAAAACAAAAAACTCTGTTCTAACAACCATAAGCTTCTTTTGCGCCTGTATTCCGTCGTTGGAGCGTTTTTTGTTGGCTCTATTTATTTTCTAGAGAGACTTGGACTATATTTTCTTTTTTTCGTGGCAAAAAACCAACGTGTGGAATAACAATACGCTTCAATCAGCACGTTACAAACAGCAAGTTACTAATGAGACAAGTTATTAATGAGAAGACTCGAAGAATAATCAATCTAAATGATCGTTGTTCACGACCTTTTCGAGTATATTATTTGGTTTTAACGTAATAAACAGCGATAAGGAAAAAATCGAACGAACGGAAGCTTCATGCGCGTCAAGATTGCAATCTCTGAGAAACAAAATGAAAACCGAGACCTTCGAGTCAATATATTTTCTTTCTCTCTCTCTCTCTCTCTCTCTCTCTCTCTCCGCGTTTCTTTAAGTGGTATTGCTGCGTTAAAGTGGAAACTGCAACACGCGCGCTCAACGTAATTCCTTCTGTGAAATTCACCGACACTTTTTGTTGTATGTACAACGTACGATATAAATAACGCCCACGTCGTTTCGTTTTTCCCTTCTTTTTTTTTTTCTGCTTCTTCGAGCGTCTGGAAAATTGCGAGTAATTATGCGCGTATCGCGATTCTCGCGCGTTTTCCCTTTCCAATCCCGACGTGAAACACAGAGATATGAGACACAAGTGTAACAAGAAATGCAAATTACACGACGCGGCTGCGCGCAACAATGTGTTATTAAAAGCGCGCCGAGACATAAGGGAAGTTACGATCGTATTTTGAGATAAAGAAACGACGTCTTTTAAACGAGCGCGAACTTTTTATCATATCAGAAGATCGATGATAAAATTGCCGATGGTGAATTAAAAAACCCGGTTGTTTTTTTTTTTTTTTTTTTTCATTCGAACGCGCATTCACGCAACAGCTCGGGTTTCGAAAGGCAAAAATCACCTCGGCGGCGAAGCCGAGCCGCAACAACGCGCGCGCGCGATTGAATAACAATTTAACAACAAAAAGTTTCGCTCACGGTCGTGGAAACAGAAATATAAATAAACTAATGGCTCGCGTCACGGGATGGGGCGTATTCCCGCGAGAAGATTCGAGGACGCACGCGATGTAACAATTTGGAAAACCGATCGTAGGTAGGTATGCGAAATGCGACGAAGGGGATAATCAGCTCTCGCGGAGCGGAAATATGTCAAGCTTGTCCACACGTGTGCGGATGTAACTATAAACATCGACTTTTTTTATTTTTTTAAACACGCGTGTACACGCGTGTAACCGCGAGCGGAAGTGTCGCGTTTCTCGCGGCCTTGCGTTTCTTCTTGTTTCGATATCGCTTTTGCGTTACAGAGGCGAGAAGATCGTTTTACACCACGTGAACCATATTTTCGATCGTTCTTTTCTCCATTGACGAAACCGCATGGTTTTTCCGCTCGCGGCGAATGCGATAACAAAAAATATATCGTATAAATAAGCACCTTATACCCTATGCTCGCCGCATATATATATATATACAGTTATGTTACTTGCCACGCTTTGACTCCGCGAATGTTCGCGGAGTCCCGCGTGAGTCAAAAGCCTGACGGCAATCACGCCTCATTGTGAACAAATGTAATTTAATAAAGTGACAACTAACCACAACAGCATAATTCGCCGGTAGGGGGGAATATATATATACGACGGCGCGACAAGGAATGAGAGAAAATGAAGAATGTGGCGGGCGAACGAAGGGTGGAAGTAGAGAGGAAGAAGCTCTCTTGGAGGAAAGGCAAGCGAGAACGAAGGCGAGGAAAGAGATGAACGCGGCGGCAGTGTCTCGCGATATTTCTGCTAGATGTTGCATCATTCAACTCCCGAGACACACACACACGTTTCTTCTTCCTTTTTCTTCCGCACGCGGATTCACATCGAGGATCGGAGTCGAGTTGGAATTTTCTGTGCGCAATTTTTGACGAATAATCGAAATGACTTAACACGGAAAAAAAAAAAAAAATAGTTTCTAACCACAGCTAATTACGGTTTGCTGAAATGAATTTGCTCTGCTGTAACTGTAAAATTTTCTATTACATACACCGAAAAAATTGTATTCTTGTTTGGAGATATCCCACTTACTTTAAGTATATTTTATACTAAAATAGGCGCCAAGAAGAGTTTCTTATTTTAGGAGGAAAATCCTCTAAATAGTAATATTGATAAGAATATATACTGATTAGAATATAAAAAGTCTCTATAGAAAAACATATATATCTAACTA